GTGTCCGTTTGTCCTATCTTGTTCCTGAGTAGGAAAACATTGTTATAAAGTGGATGGGTGGAGGAAGAGGAAAAGAAAAGATGGAGGGCATAAAGGGAAGAGGTGACTCACCTCAGCTGTCTTTTGTTTATTTTGGGAAATAAACTGGCCTGAGTTATTGCAGTGCCTTTCTGACTATTACAAAATCTCTTCTCCAGACAACAGCCTTGGTGGGTTATCATTTAAGACGTGTACAACATCTTGTTACATCCCTTCCTGAATGTCTTTAACAGTTAGCGTCCTGTTGCACTTAGCATGGCATCCAGACTTTACCATCACCTCTCAGCCATCTGTCCCATTACTCAGCTCTCCCTCCTTGCTCTGCTCTGCCCTGCTTTTAAAACACACCTCACTCTTCCACTTCAGGGCCTGTGTACACTTCCCTTTTCTTTCCCTGGGGTGGTCTTTCTCTTCTTATTCTTATGACTGGATCCCCTGCTTTTAGTTCTCAGCTAAGAAGCTGCCTTGCAGCTTCCTGGAGGAATTTATTCATAGGACTCCTCCTCCAGCCTAGCACACGCATGCTCACAGCGTTGGTCACTTATGCCTTTTAGCACATAGCAAGGACACAAATGACTTTCATTAGCACTTGAGATTTATCTACTCCTGGAAGCATCTAGAAAGCAGGGCCCTTTTTTTTTTTTTTTTGCTTTGGGCCACATGGATCTTTTCATCAACTCTCAGAGTCTGTAATAGGGTCTGCAAAATGAACGTTTGCCAAATCCATGTGGGGAGGAAATAAAGACCTTGTATTATACTGGGTTCCTGGATTTACATGTAAACTCTACAGTGTATGAAAGTTCAGCTCATCTAGGCAAGCTTGCTTGACGACAGAGTTAGACTACAAAGAACCATACCTCTAGCTCTAATGGACAAGCTGTTGAATGTCATGGTGCAGTATCTGAAGTCTCTCTGTGGCTGGTAGATGGCTCCTGAAGGTGCGTGCCTGCTCAGGGCATGCTCTGCACCGTCTTTGGACTACCTGTGGAAGACGACCTGTGTCAGTCAGGACTGCATTCCCTCACTAGCCTGGCAGCATGACTTCTGCATGTTCATAGGGTGCTGATTTCATCAACATTTGGTTCTTTTGGCACACAGCACGACTGCCCCATACCATCCATCCGGCTTCTAGGCTGACAGTTTTCCTTTCTTCCAGAGCTGAGTGACGTGAGCCGGCACTTTGATAAGGACGTTCTTCCCCACACTTCCCACAGTTCAGTGGGCAGGGAAAAGTCAGACAGCCTCCTCTTGTCAAACCACCCCACTTTCCTCAACTGTGCTTCGAGTCACAGTTTATTTTTCTACTTCACAGAGTGAGCCTCACGTCAGAGTTCCTTCTCTACGGTTTGTTATAACTGTGTCTTAAAGGAAAATCCCATGTGGGGCCTTTAAATGCACTTTGGGCTTGTGGGTAGTTCATTCTTTAGCTAAAATCTGGTGCTTACAGAACCTTGTTATAATCTTCACCCAATAAATGTCATTGTATGTAGCATATACATGATCACTTGTACTTTTATTACTATGTGTCTCTAAAATGGAGTGCAAATACATGAAGCCTACGGTTACTCGGATGCTTGAATTTATAGATTCTGGCAGACAGTTTTAGTTTCCTGAACTGGTTTACAGTAATTTAAAAGCCAGGAGCAGAGCATGAAGAAATTTTATGGTTCAGTGTCAGGTCATAGAATCTCCTTCTAATATAAGCGCGCGTGCGCAGACACACACACACACACACACACACACACACACACACACACACACACACACCACACGCAGGATGGTGCGTTCTGTTCTGGGTTATGTTATAAGGAACAAAAACAAATAATCACACAACCACTGCAACCAATTTAAGAAAAGGAACTCAGTGGTCACCATGGGTGAACACTTTATGAGATTCATGCTCATCTGTGATCATCTGCATTGGGAACAGGAGTGTGCACAGTGACTTCAGAGATGACTTTGTTACATTCTCATGCTGTTAGCACTGCTTAGCATGAGGTACACTCGCACATAATACCTTTTGGCTGATGTATTAAAGATATGCTTCTTTTCGCTTTAGGTAGATAGTTGTGTGTGTGAAATGTAGGTAGAAAATACTAAGAAAGGTAAAGAAGTTATAGGTTCCTTTTCACAGAAAGTCAGTCATGCAAATATACTTGGCTATCACAGGGCAGAGTGTGGTCAGTCCCAGTGCAGGGATAAGATGATATTGACGTTCTTTTCCTGTCACAGTAGGTCTGAAAGAGCATTTCTTCAGACAGTACTCAAGTTTGGCCTTATGGGACAAGTTAGATTTCAAAAAGAAAAAAAACAGACAAACAAGCCAACCACATGGACAAATACTCTCTGTATCAGTGGACCAGCCTGAGCCAAGATGGGATGGGGAGAAAGTAAGGATCAGAACTATCGTACTCTGTCCTGTGAGTGTTCATGCCTCAAGCTGCTGGTCCAGTGTGTCAGCGCTAACCTGCTTTATTCATCACTGTTGGGTTGGCTGTTACCCAGAGGCAGTTTCCATGGAGCGCAAGTGCATACTGTATCCATCTAAATGCTCATGGGCATTTATCATCTAAGTGTTCATGGGCACTATCCACTCTACGCTTTGATAATGGGAGCAAACCCACATTATTGAACTATTGTTTCTGAAACATTCACACAGAAGACAGTGAACCCCACTTACTGTCTTGGGGTATATAGTTTTTAATTCACAGTCTTTGCTCACTGTGTGACTAAAGCACAAACATTTAAATAACTTTCTTCACATTCACTTGACCAGTCAATTTGGATTTATACACAATCGAGAACTTGCTCATCTTCTCGGTTCCCATACAGACATCACCATGTAGATGCTCAAATATATATTTCTGTGTAATAGTGTTTGATAAATCGAGAAAATTAGAATTGAACAAGAAAGCAGATCCAAAGTCAGTCATATGGATGACCAAAATATTTCTGGGTGCACATCATGACCTAATTTCAGGTAATATCTAAGAGAGAAAAGGTCCACAGTTAATATGAAAAGGAAATGAATGAGTTAAAGGTCTTGGTTTTGGTATTAAGGACACCAGGTCATAAATTAAGGCTGTATGGTTTTTCTGTGGTGAAAACTGGTTATTTGTTATTTCCACAATGCTATTGCTAAGCATCTGTGAATTCACTATTTGTTCAAGAAAGACTCAGTTGAATAGTTTTATGATATTGGATGACTTTGTATTTATGTTTCAATAAAAATGATTTCATTTCTTCATATTTTATGATAGATCAACATTCTTTTGGTTGTAACTATAAAAATACAACTAATATAAACGTTTACATCTCTGATATGAAGAAAGTGAATCTTTGTGTAGGGATTCTCCACGACTCAAGCAGAAGCCAAAATGTTTTTACATTGAGTGAATTTAATTCCACTTAGTTAAAAGTATCTCTTTATTTCACCATGAAGAATGGCACAAAGAGGCTTAGGTATGTCAGTATGATGATTGTGGTGGTATTGTGTTCCCCAAAATATTGTGCACCCTAATAAACTTATCTGGGGTCAGAGACAGAACAACCACTAGATACAAAGGCTAGAAAATGGTGGCACTCACACCTTTAACCCTAGCACTCCAGAGGTAGAAATCCCTCTGGATCTCTGTGAGTTCAAGGCCACATTGGAAATGGCCAGGCATGGTGACGCACGCCTTTAATCCCAGAAAGTGAGCCTTTAATCCCAGGGAGTGGTGGTAGAAAGCAAAAAGGTATATAAGGTGTGAGGACCAGAAACTAGAAGCATTTTGGCCTGGTTAAGCATTTTGGCCTGGTTAAGCATTTGACTGGTTAAGCTTTCAGGCTTCTAGCAGCACAGTTCAGCTGAGAGCCATTTGGATATGAGGACACAGAGGCTTCCAGTCTGAGGAAACAAGACCAGCTGAGAAGTTGGCCAGGTGAGGTTAGCTGTGGCTTGTTCTGTCTCTCTCTGATCTTCCAGTTCACCCCAATACCTGGCTCCGGGTTTGATTTTATTAATAAGAACTTTAAAGATTCCTGCTACAGATGATTATTCAAAATCTGTCGTTTTTGGTGCTGGAGAGATGGCTCTGTAGTTGAGAACATATATGGCTTTTGCAGAAGACCTCAGTTCAGTTTTCAGAACCTAGACTAGGCTCTTCACTACTATCTATAATTCCAGCTCCAGGGATCTGTCACCATCCTTTGGCATCCATGGACACTGGCACTTATACACATGATTAAAAATAGTCCACCCCTTTGCATTAATGAATCTCCAAGTTACAAAGTTGCCTTCTTTTCTGCATGGGACTGATTTACTTCCTTCAACTTCCCGTTCTTTACTCTGTAAAGCTGAAGATCTAACATGGTGGAGGGAGATTTTACCCGGTCCCACCATTTAGAAAACCACAGGTGCATTTCTGCTCTCATTATTAACATGAAATTATGAATCTCCATGCTGAAATGTAAACTAATGGGCAACAACTGTGGCTGCTCTTTGTTTTGAATAACCGCAAACCACATATGAGGGGATAGGATCACTTTCCTTAAAACACAGATATGCAGAAAAACAAGTGAAGAGAATAAACTGGGAAAAAAATCCTGTTTATTCTTTCACCAGGACCAAAGTACCCCCATATAATCTCATGAATAGTTTATTAACAGCATGAAAGACAGAAGTTGAACACAGTATAGCAGAAAAATATGTATCTACATATTTACAAATAAAGTGTGTGTCTGTGTATGTTTATGTGTGTATGTGTTTATCTGTGTGTGTATGTCTGTGTCTATGTGCTGTGTCTCTGTGTGTCCGTGTGTGTGTGTGTGTGTGTGTGTGTGTGTGTGTGTGTGTGTGTGTGTGTTACCTGGAATCCTGTCCTAACCACTTCTCTACTCTGAGACTTTACGGTGGTCTCATTAATTCTCCAAGCCAGGTTTATGAAACCTCTCCTTGATTGCATCCTTTTCTTCCACAGCTTAACCGGCTGGAAAAGGCCATGGAAGCAGCCCACACGTTCTTCATGGCCAACCCTGAGCACATGGAAATGCAGCAGAGCATAGAAGACTACAGAGTGACGGCCGGGGTAGAAGCCTTCCAGCTGGTAGATCGAGAAGCCAGGCCACATCTGGTGAGTTCTGGGGATCGCTGTCCTGGCCACAGGAAGCTAACTGTACTTGCCTCATGGGCTCCAAGATGAATCATATAATGGATTCATATATCAAGTTCAGTCTCAATGTGTACTATCGTTCATACGTTTGAAACTCTCAGATGAAATATTATAACCAGAAGTGAAACTATATTTGAATTTCTATATTAAAATTTCAATAATTAAAAATTGAAGTTGAGAGAAATGAAAATTCTTTTAGAAAAATCAGTTTATGGTGAAACCTAAACTCCATAAAGTTATCTGTCTCCTCCATGAAGCCTCGACTCTTACAGGCCCTTTTTCATACCATATTTTTTAGTTAATAATTTATTTTTTTAACAGTTTACCCAATGTAAATCATGAATACTGACCACTTTCACCCGAGAATTTTACCTTCTCCCTCCTACCCTTATGCACCCTCTCTTCCTACGAATCTCTTTCTCACATTCCTATTTGTGTCTATTTGTTTGTGACCCCGAGTTTGACTGTGCCAGTCTGTGTGACCAGGGTTTGCAACTTTCTGTTGGAGACGGCTTGGCCCAGCAGTGGGTGTGCAACCCAAGATGATGGTCCCCCATTCCAGAACCTGTCAGTACTCAGGAGTTTGTGCCTGGGTCACATGATAGTTTTATTTCTAGTTTTTAAAATAATCCTCCAGCCTGATCTCCAGAGTGCTATAGTAGTTTACACTCCCACCCACCGTGTGTAAGGGTTCCCCTGCCCCACGCCCACCGCAGCATTTGTTGTAGTTGATATTCTTAGTGATAGCTGTACTGACTGGGGTAAGATGATGGAACCTTAAAGTAGTTTTATTATGAATTTTCCTGACTGCTAAGGATGTTGACCATGTTTATATATGGTCCCTAACATTTCTTATCCTGTTTAGCACTGTAGTTTATTTTTAATGCAATGTTTTTATGACTTCTTTGAGAATGCCATTGCATACACACAATGATTTTCGATCATACTCACCCCTGTGTCTCCCTTCCAATTCTTCTTGGATCCTCCCACCTCCCTCTTCCCTCCATCATGTCCTTTTTGTTTTAAAATAAACCACTAAGACCAATTAGTGCCACCCATATATGCATGGGTATGGCGTACGCACTAAGCACCTACCTACAAGTGACCATATCTCTAAAGAAAACTTACTCTTCCTCCCCTAGTGGCAATCAACACTCTTAGTGACTCCTCAGCTAGGGGTTGGGGCACAAGTGTCCCTCCCCAGTTCATGGTAGAATGTTCAGTGACTTGATCTTGCAAAGGTCTTGTGCAGTGATTCACAGATGCTGTGAGTTCATGAGTGCATGTCCTATCATGTCCATGAGACACGGCTTCACCCCAGTCCTTCATGATTTCTGTCTCTCACATTCTTTCTGCCCCCTATTCCTTGATGTTTCTTGAGCCTGGCCGGAAGGAGATATGGTATAAATGACCAACATGTTATCAAATGGTATATTGTTTATTCTCAGTGAGTTTCTGTGCCTTGGCTAGTTTTTCTTGCTGTTGATATCTAACTTTATTCCCTGGTGGTCAGACAGAATTCAGGATGTTATTTCAATTTTCCTGTATTTGTTGAGGCTTTTCTTTGTATCCTAATGTAAGTCCTATTTTGGAAAAAAGTTCTCTGAGTTGCTGCAAAGAATATGTATTCTTTAGTGCTTGGATGCAATGTTCTGTAGATGTCTGTTAGTTGAAACCATGTCTTGCTATCTTGCTGTGGCTGGCTCAGTAATCCTCCTGCCTCAGCCATTTTAGTATCTAGGACTATAGATGCCAACTGATGTTCCTGACATTTAACACGCCTATTTTTCACCTAGAAGTGAAGCCAGTGTGAATTGTCCGTGGCTACACTATTTGTCTTCCGACTTCCAATGTGCAGGATTTTCCCTTGTATCTGGAGCGTTCAATTTGGAGTTTGAAAAACCCACATTATTCTTCTTCCAAAAAAATATTATTTGAAATCACGTATGGAAAGGCCTTTTTGCCCCAATGTTTTTGACATTACCATTCTCAATGTATGCCCTCCAAAATATATTTTAGAAGGAAAAATTAATGGACCAAGGTTTGGAAGTGATGGCACACTTCTAACTATATTTGCTATCCCACTGCTATTCCACACCTTCCCTATAGCAGAGAGATTATAAACTATCCCTGAGTGTATGCGCAGAAAGTAGATTGATTGACACTGCTGTAGTCCTTGACATTTATCTGAACCTGTGGCAGTCACAGTGGACTGACCAGTGAAACCCGTCATTACCTTCTGTAGCACAAGATTCTGCTCTCACCTTCCTAAATGGTCCTGGGTCTGTGTGCGTCTCACTCTTGACAAACAAGATCATGTCTGTGTCCTTGCAGGAGAGCTACCACGCAGGCGTTAAACATTACGAGGCCGATGACTTTGAAGCCGCAATCAAGTACTTTGAACAAGCTTTAAGAGAATACTTCAATGAAGATATGGAATGCCGGGCTCTATGTGAGGGGCCTCAGAGATTTGAGGAATATGAGTACTTAGGGTATAAAGGCGGTCTTTATGAGGCAATTGCAGGTAAAGCTTGGTTTTGTTCTTTGTTTGCTTACTCTAATACGCTGTGGATAGTATGTAAAAATATTCTGACAATATACTGCATGGTAGTAAACAGTGCAAAACGTTAAAGATTCTCACATGCCTATTCCATCCTGTCCTTGGCTGCTAAGTTTTATGGTTAAAGTTTTGAGTTTTTCTTCCCAATTTCTTCTGATGTATTGCTCATAATTGCATATTTATTTATTTATTTATTTATTTATTTATTTATTTATTTATTTCATCAATATAAAAATAGGAAAGTACTATGAGTATTTCTTTTCAACATATTTTTTTATTTTATTTTATGCATAGCGACAAAATGTGGACTTCTCAGGTAAGTACATGTGGACTCACTTTGTTGTATGTAGTGGCTAGATAATAGCCATGATATGGGACCATCATTGTTTCGAATATTAGTCTTTACTGATGACTACTGAAATGGTTGCAGTTTTTAAGTATTGTCAGTAATATAGCAATGAACCCTTTGATACAGTCTTGTTTAATTCATTGGCAGATTATACTTGATAATTTTTTTTAAAAAATAATAGGCAATGTGTGATATTCAAGAGTTGCTGATTCTGTGTAATTAATCTTTTATTGGAAGAAGTGAATTCTCTGTATATACCATATTTAAAAATAAACAATTTGTATTAACAATATAAGTGTAAAAATACAACTGTCAGAAGAAACTTTTAAGAGCACGTTTATAAAGTACAGGAGAGGTGGAGTGCTTTCATACAGAACAAAAGGCAAGAGAAAGTGGAAACCATAATCTACATAAAATACCCATAGAATTAAATTGATTACAAAGACAAGTGAACAATATCTTAAATAACTTATACACAAAATTTTAATACTTTTCATAGTAAAGAGAGGTTATTAATTATTATTAGTAATTAATCTATTAATTATTATTAGTAGTAAATACCAATGCTTATCTCGCAACTATAACATAAAAATATACCCATCCTCTTATTTTTGCTTTTGTGTGTGTAATACTGAGGATTGAACTCAAGGTATCATGTATGCTAGGCAAACACTATATTGCTGTGCTATAACTCTATCCATCATTTTACTTTTTATCATGGGATTCTAGTCTCACTAAGTTGCCCAGGCTAGCCTGGAACTCATCCTAACTCTAGTAGGCATTGACTCTGTAATCCTCCTGCCTCAGATGCCCAAGTAGCTGAGATTATAGACTTGTGACACTAGGCCATAGCCCTTTTGTGCTTACATCTCCAGTCAGGGAAATAGAAAGTTGGAGGCCCCAGGGCCATGAAGATTGCAGAGGAGCCAACCTCTGTGGGAAGTAGAGACTCCTGGAGGGACCTTGTTTGACCTTGGCTTATGGCTCTGGCTATGTCCTCATCAGTTGGTTCAGTTGGCCAGAGCAGTACAGGCAAGCATACAGACAGGTACAGTAGCACGCTGTGCTGTGACTGTGTTCTAGGGGCTAGCACAAGGAAGTCTTGAGGAGGCCCTGGTGTAGATAAAGCACATGAATATCATGGTCTGAGGATGTATGGCTTTTCTCCAGCTGGTACCACACAAGTATCAGATGCTCCTAGCTGGGGTGGGGGTACAATTCTAGTCTTGTATTTTGGTTTTGATATTCTGTTTTTAATTTAATTTTTGATAGTTCCATGTATCTATACAGTGAATTTTAGTCATTTTCATCTCCCATCTCCCCCTATCATTCTACTTCCTTCTCCAACTGAAGCCCTTCTTCTCAACAGGTCTCCTCCTATTCTCTCTCTCTCTCTCTCTCTCTCTCTCTCTCTCTCTCTGTGTGTGTGTGTGTGTGTGTGTGTGTGTGTGTGTGTGGTCCAGTGAGTTTTGTTAGAATTGCTTGCTTGCTGGAACATGGGTGGGATATTACTTACTTGACAAAGACAGCTTTCTAGTGGCTCCATGAAGATAGCCAACAAGCATAAACTGCCAGTGCCCTCATAGGTCCCTCCCTCCTCCAACCTTGATGAAATTTTGATGAGCCCAGTGTTGGATATGTCTTGTGTAAATAGACACATCTACATTGAGTTCATAAGTATATTGGCTATGTCAAGTCCAAAAAACATCTTTTTCCTCTACATCTATCCTTCCTGTTTCTTGTATTCTTTCTGACATCCCCCACACCCTCCAGGATGTTTTCTGAGCCTTAGAGGGGTGATATAACTCTGTCATGCACAGACAAGCACTCCATCATCATGTATTATCTGCATTTTAGCCATTGTAGCCACTCATGGGTTCCTTCATTAACCACCACCTCAGTGCACCTCAGTGTAGTAAGAAGCTTCTAAGAAGAGAACCGGAAGCAGCACTAACCAATGGATATTAGCAGTATTTAGAGGGCCCTTTGACAAAACAAGTATTTTGCATAATGTAGTAGGTTCCATAGTAGGCGGTTCCCTACCTGTGTCTGTGGCCTCCCTAGCCAAGGGCTGGTTTTATTGTTCTTGATGGTATCATAGGGGCCTCAAGGGTGCTGACCTTTTGGGGAGATGTAGCTGAAGTTTTCCTGTGTCCCACCTGGCCTGTGGTCAGGACAAATCTCTCTCACCCACCAGTCCTGCAGCTGCTTGAACCCAAGTAAACACACAGAGGCTTATATTAATTAGAACTGCTTGGCCATTAACTCAGGCTAACTATGGACTAGCTCTTATACTTAAACTCAGCCCATTTCTGTTAATCTATATGTCGTCACATTTTCCATGACTTTACCTGTGTGCCATTACATGTTGCTCCCTGGACAGCAGGCTGGCATCTCCTAACTCAGCTTTCTGCTTCCCAGAATTCTCCCTGTTTGCTTATCCTGCCTATGCTTCCTGCCTGGCTACTGGCTAATCAATCAGTGTTTTATTAAACTGGTGTACAAAAGCATTATTCCACTGCACGGAGACTTCTCACATAGATCTGCATCTCTGTTTGCTGCTCAGCCACTCACTGAAGAGATTCTGCTCCCTTTAGGTGAGGAATTTGTTAATTAGAACAATTCAGTGAGATGACTAGAAACAAGCTAAGAATCAGACCCAGGGTTTTTTTTCTATGAGAGCCTGTACTTTTAAAGTCAACATAATGAAAAACCTAGTAAAGAGTAACCTATACAATAACAAATATTTATCATATAGTTGTTGATGACATATTGTGTTTCAAGATGTACATAATGAGAAAATGATGTTGAACTGAAATATAAGTTACTAAAGTCAGTTTACCTTCCCAATTCTAAAGTTTCCTTATCTCCTTCAAAAGCACTTACTTAGTAGCTCAAACCAAATCCTGGGAAGTTGCTTTTCTAACATCTAATATCTTCCTTGACTCCTTAGTCCAGCTTATTTGTTAGTAAACATGGACAGATGCTCCTTTCACATGATACTTAACACTGGGTCAACCTGCTGGTCATGAGGATTTTGTTTAAATCAAAACTGCATTTTAACTAAGCCCCCGTGACGACTTCCCTCCTGTTCTTGGTGTGCAGTTCAAACAGAGCTCTAATACAGAGCCTGAATTCTGTCCTAACAGGGCTACTATACATAAACTCCCTCTCCTTGTGACTTTCATTCTACTTGGAATAAAGCCCAATAACGTTTAAGGACTTTCCCTATGTATTTTCGCATTCTCTCTTCATTCCTGCCTTCACAAGTTCTTTGAATTCTTTGGATGAGCCATTCCACTCTCTGTTCCCCTTGCAAATCCATGGTGTTTCCTGGTATTACATGGCCAATGTCCTATCTTGTTCAGTCCTCATTCCTCAGGGACTGGCAAACCCCTAAGCTATTTAATAAACATTAGCTAATTGAATTTGTTGGTGAATGCAAGAATAAAGAATGTGGTATATATATATCAATAACTATTTATAGATAAATGTGTTAGTAATGCCTTGTGCTTGTGATAATGTCAGTCATAAAAAAGGTGGATTTTTTTAGAAGCTAATTAGAGAATAGCTACAAAGCGTAAACTAGAATCAATATATCTATTACACTCAAAATCACTACACTAAATTAGCAAACTATGAAGTGCTCTATTATCCAAAGCAAATTTAAGTTACCTAAAATCAATATACGTGTATGAGTTATTTTGAGGATTTATTTCCAAACTTTTGTTTCCTTGGGCATCAGCCGTTTCCTTGTATTTTTGTGAACATGGTTTATTGAAAAGTCAATTTTGTGTGTCTTTTACATGTAATTACTAGATTTTTTCCCTCAGCACACAGTGTTTTGCAAGGAGAATGAGCTAGCCTTTTCTTTATTATTTATAGTAATATATAAAAATAAATATGTAAATACATATAAAGTGTTTATTTAATAGTGTACTGTGCTGTGATTTTATGGGATGATGTGCCCTTCTTCCAGCCCCACATCTGCCCCTGCACCTGTGCTGTGGTGTCCATGGAACAGATTAGGCAAATGATCTAGATCCTGCTGTGGCAACTGACCTCTCTGTGGGTTAGTATTTAGTGCTGGTCAAGTTACCATATTCCATGGGCTGCTGAGAAAGAACAGAGGTCTCTACATTCAGTTTCTCTGACTCTTAACTACCACAACCAGCAAAAACTGTGGAAAACACGTCATAGTCTTTCTAGTGCCAGCCAAATATCCTCAATTATAGAAATACGGTAAGATTTCCTGGAAATCTGAAACATGCTCACTGCATTGTAGCAAAAAAAAAAAAAAAAAAAAAAAAAAAAAAAAAAAAAAAAAAAAAAAAAAAAAACTAAAAGTATTCTTACACAGCTGTTCTGAACCTCAATCTTATTCAAAATGTGTATTGATTGCACAGTGACATCAAAAGGAAAAGTGACATCAAAATTCCTATGACGACTTTCACCCTGCAAATTCCTGTCCTGCTCAAGTGCCCTCATTTTGGAGTTAGGTTGGCATTCACAAAAGAGAATGTATTAGGAGAATTGTAATGCTTGAACTGTAGAGTTAGAAGAGACTTAATGTTGGTGGAAAATGGAAATGGCTGCTACATGCAAATTTTCATGAGGTCACCTCTGGTTGTAAAGCCAGAAGGCCATCTTCATTCTTCCCATTTGCTATTTATACTCTGCTTTACAAATATATTCTGTCAGAGTTTGAATTGTCCGTGGGTACATTTTTCACTTTTTCCTTTACTTGTCACTTGATATTAGAGTAGTGGTTCTCAATCTGTGAGTCATGACCCCTTTGGGTGTTGAATTACCCTTTCTCACACGGGTCACATATCAGATATCCTGCATATCAGGTATTTACATTACGATTCATAACAGTAGCAAAATTACAGTTATGAAGTAACAATGAAAATAATTTTATGGTTGGGGGTCACCACAGCATGAGGAACTGTATTAAAGAGTTGCAGCTTTAGGAAGGCTGAGAACCACTAAACTAGAGGAAACAGATTTGAAGGTAAAGAGGACATCAGGTTATTGGGGAGTAAACAGTTGGCTGTTTGTTGTCCCACTAAGATATTTATGTGGGCTCAAGTTAGCCAGGTTATGGAAAGTGTTTGCCTCCACCCTACAAATACTCCTTTCCTTCCTGTGTTCTGACCTCATTCTGCAAAATTGCCCAGACCCAAGATGAACTCTGACTAAACAGAGACCCTCTTGAAAGAAGCTGTTGTGGCCAATTGAATTGTGCAGCCATGAAATCAAGTGATGTTCTCAACTGCCAGAGAGCCCACTCAACCCAAGCATGAGTGAACCGTTCTCTCTCTGCAAAACATTGTCCCATCTTTGCTACAGAATTCAGAGTTAGGCAAAGAGGAAGAGGAATTTGTCTTGTGACATTAGCTGCTTTTGTCTCTTCAGCTCACGCCTTGATAAAAGAGAGTCTAGAGATAAGGGGCATGGAATGCCCCGTGCTTCAGCACCTTAACTGTTGGAAATGAGAGCAGCAACCACCGAAGAGGGTGCAAGGAAGACAGTGTTTATTCCAACTATTTGGCTGCCACCCTTTCTGCCGTTTAACCACTCTCTGTCAAAACAGTATCCAATGTGTTAGAATATGTGCAGCCCAGTGAGAGCCTGGTCGGTAACTGGACAGGTTAGGGTCCTGAGCAATAGTTATCAAGAATATTTTAATTCTTCCTTTAGAAAAAAAAATTGACAGGAAAGGGAGTTTGAATCCTCTGTTTCCCCTGCTGAACTTTCTGCATGCATGGCTGTTGCCTTTTCTGAATGGCTTCTTAGCATCACTAGGATTTGAATGTCCTGTCTCAGTTCTAGGGCATCTCAGACCCTCTGCAGTAGTCAAAAAGCAGTTCGACATGTCTGGTGAGAAAACCTCCATTCAGCTTTATTCCCAGGACGCCTGACATACTGCTGAGGTTCTGGACCCAATGCTGTCCACTGATCATGGCTAAGATGATGTCACAAGTCACTGACTGTCTGAAGTTTTCAGACTAGGAAATGACAATACAGAATTCTCTCTCTCTCTCTCTCTCTCTCTCTCTCTCTCTCTCTCTCTCTCTCTCTCTCTCTCTCTCTCTCTCTCTCTCTTTGTTGTGTGGTAAAGCATGCCCTGTAGAAGTGTTGCCCTGGCTAAGGTGTGGTCTCAGCAGCCAGAGGCCCCACATTGTCTCTCTTGTCTTTCAGATCACTACATGCAGGTTCTGGTCTGTCAGCATGAGTGTGTGAGGGAACTTGCCACCCGCCCAGGCCGCCTCTCACCGATTGAGAACTTCCTTCCCTTGCATTACGACTACCTCCAGTTTGCCTACTACAGAGGTAAAGTGTGGATTATCCAGGAAGACCTTTGGGGGTTCTTCTTCCTCACTCTTGGCATCTGTTCATCACCCAGACCCCTGCTTTCTTTCATTTCATCACCAAAGTGATGCAGCTTTCTGCCCTTTCTTCTCCTTGACGTTTGGCCGCAGCTCAGGCAGGACGCTCGCAGTGGATGAAGCCCAGGATTTACTATGACGGCATCCTGAAACTTACACTAGACTGGCCGGATTTCGTTTTCGACTTAAGCTGCTTTTCAGCTCACTTTTAGTAGGGTTGCATTCCCAGGGCTGGAAGAACCAGTGTTATTAAATCATCCCTCTCTTTCTGTATCAACAGCCCACTTTTGTGTCTTTCAACTGAGTGCTCTGTACTTCCAAAATTTCATATATAAGCAAATATACTTACAGAATTTGCCTTCTTCTTTTATGTGGAGACAGCATATTATTTATATTTTCTGTATCTTTTTGCACATAATACATGCCAGCTGACTTTTAGTGGATTAGACATAGGAAATTACCATATTTTAGGTCACAAATTCTAGTAATTTATTATTCAACTTTAATAGATGAGTGCTTGTGCCTGCATTCCATTGTATTAGAACTAAGTTTATGTGTCTTCTTACTGAGGGACAGTTGTGTTGTCTGCAGTCAACTTTCAAGCAGATGACATTTTACACATGTCTGTGCGTATCTATATAATATTTCTAAGGATAAATATCTGGAAGTTCATCTACTGGGTCAAAGAGTTTATTCATTTGTAGCTTTGATTCACATTGCCAAATGTTCCTCCATGTGGGTTGTATTTTCCAGGGTTCATCATCAGAATATTTTATAGAATGTTTAGATATTCCATAATCCTTTAGGGAAAATTTAGTAATTCAAAATAGCTTTAGTTTCTTATTTTTATTGAAGAGAAGATATTTAATACCCTCTCTTATACTTGGAGCCATCTCCAAGAATATATGCACACACAGAGAATGTATGTTTGTATGTATATGTGTATATGTGTCTATGTATGTATGTGTGTGTGTTTATGAAGAGAGAGGAAGTGTCTTTTTTAGAGAAATCTAATTGTGTGACCCATTTGAGAAGGTGGCACACAGCATTTCAACTTTCTTCTCCTAAGAGTTGAAAAATTTTTTTGCAATAGCTAAATATTTCTAAAACAATGAAATCATATTTGAAACATCCTGGACTGCTCCTTGTAATAGCTGGATACTGTTAAGGATGCTCAAGTTACATGAGAAGGGTCTAGAAGAGACTGTCTACAGTCTGGGGACCCTCTCAAGGTTACCCCATAGAAGCAGCAATTTACAACATACGTTCCAGTGATAAGAAATAACACGTTGGAATCACTTCTACACTCATATTTTATTTATGAATGCTACATCATCGTCTTAGAAGGTCATGCTCAGAATATTTACTTAGGCTAAACAGTACAGAAAGTCACAGTTGATTCATATGATTTTTGCTGCGGTATTACAGGAATCACCAATAAGCATTTTCAGACAGAGAGTTTGGAGTATTTCTGCAAATGCCCAGCAACAAAGCAAACAAAAGGTTGTCCCATTTGAGCCAGAAATCATGTCTGTCCTTCTATGTATCTGACCTTTTTGCTCAGCCTCAGTTTATCTCCCATTTTTATGATATCAGTACTGACATCAGTAGACACACTAAAGTCTTCCCCTGAAGTCCTCTGGGCAGATCTCGCTGACTCAAATGTGACAACGCCTTGTGTTTCCAGTCGGTGAATATGTGAAAGCCTTGGAGTGTGCCAAAGCCTATCTGATGTTCCATCCAGATGACGAGGATGTCCTGGACAATGTAGACTACTATGAGAGCCTGCTAGATGACAGCATAGACCCAGAATCCATTGAGGCCCGAGAGGTGAGACCAAAGTTCTGAGAGAAATCTCTTTAATCTGCAGTGTGTTTCAGGGAGGACTGATTAAAAACCAACAAACAGACAAAGACAACAACAACAAAACACTGTACTTAAGGACACACAGAGATTTAGTGGCGTTTCCAGATCTTAATTCTTTCCAATTTGAACCTTGCCGGAAGCACATTTTCCATAGGTACTAGCTTGTAAAATCCCATCACCAAGGGAGCTGCCTTTCCAACTCTGCTCTTTATGTTAGCTCATTGGCCATTATAATGTCAAGTTCCACTTGAGCATCTAGCACATCCCTTAGCTGTTAATTAAATACAAATTCTTCCTCTCTCTAGGATATGACAGCATTTGTCAACCGTCATAACCTTGAATCTGAACTGATAAAGTCAGCTGCAGAGGGTCTGGGATTTTTGTATTCTGAACCGGTAAGAACAAAGGGGGAAAGGGGAATGTTCTTAAAAATCTTCTTGGTGGATATTTAAGTATTAGTGCCCCACTCACATTAGTTGGAGATTCTAATAACCTCTCTAAATTAATAACTGATTAGGGGAAATCTTTAGGTTATTTGTGTGGTGAACTTTAAAAGATTTTGATAGATTCCCATGATGCTAAAGTTCAAAGTCAAATATTTTGTGCATGATTTATTTGCCTCAGTATTGTCTTACTTCTCTAACCTTTAGGTGTACAATTTTAGTATATCTAATGCATGCTGTTCTTTAAACAACGTCACACACCTTCAGAAGGCACAGACTGAGTCAGCCTTCATGCTGTGTTTTCCCTACTTCGCGAATTGTCCCTCCATCGTCTGGAAAGATCCACCCTCTACAAACTTCATCAGTGCTGTAGATAAATGCATGTCTTCGTTTGTATTTCACAAGTCACTTGTGATCTTCACTACATATGTGGAATTAATGTAGGATTAACTCCTTCGATGGAGTTATTTCTAATTTCTTTCAAACATTTTTACTTAACTATTATTACCTTCCACTAAATTCTAAGCGTGGGCTCACTCTGTATGAAAAAATATGAGGTTTGAAAGTTCTTGAAACTTAACTGCCCTCCTAAGGCAATGTTTCTGATACTTTCATTGCTTCTTGTGATGTGTGATATACCAGTCTACCAAACTTAGAGGGGAAAAGTGCCTGCACTACTCATATATATTAAGTGCCAATTACTGTATCATTGCTATTCTAACTTTTATTCTTCTGATGGACAGTTTATAATATTTGTCCCTTTTCACATAGCATTATTTTCCTCTTTGAATTATGTAGGCATAGGTTTTTTTCCATTTATCTATTGATTACTGAATATTTTTCTGCAATATCCATGTTAATATATTGAGGAAATCCCTAATGGCAGCGTATTTTCCATTTTTCTTAATTCTGGATTATTGTCACAGGCACATTTCTAAAAATTAGGTTATTTTAAGATTACACTATATTTGTACCTACTTAATATTTTGAAGCACTGTGTTTCCCCAAGAGGCACCAGCATATGACACCTACTTCGTGGATCTGTACAGATAATCCAGCTTGATTTCTTTGTTCAAATTTTATTCGTGATCCACAAAGCACTTGTATTGAAGGATCTCTGAAGCCCTTTCTGTAACCACATTTCAAGTCACTATTCAGAGCAAAAGAACCAAGGCCTTCACTAATTCTGTACTTTTTTTTTGTTCATTTGTTATCCATAGTGCCTTTGCCAAAATTGCATCAACCTTTTCTTCTTCAATACACAGTGCAAATCTCTGAATATTTCAAGCCTTCTTAATATTTTGTTGAGAGTATTTTTAATTTTTTATTCCTATGAATGGCATTTTGGTAATAAATTTATACTTTTTTCTCAACTGAAAACAGAATTACTGGATCAGTTATGGAGGACGGCAGGATGAGAACCGGTGAGTCCTCCCTTGGAAAATAAACTACTGTGAGACAGAGTGCTCTGAGGTGGGAGATTGTGCATGAAACTTAACTCCAGTGGATTAGAGAGAGTAATGTAATTACAGCCTCTGAGCTGCACATTAGGAACTGTGTCCTGGCCCCAGCTTTCCCACTCTCTGCTGTATGGTTTAGAGTAATTCTTTTTCTCTTTGTGTGTGAATACTTTTCTTTAAATGAAGGAGTTGGCCCGGGAGGTCTCCAAATGCTGACTTCCTGTAATTAATCATTGCACAAAGTTGGATGCTATTTTTGTTAACAAATACATTTGCTTTTTAAAATGGCCTTTATCCTTTGAGAATTGCATACAACACATTTTGATCATATTCAAAATTTGCTTTCTGGTGGTAAATTTCCTTACTATATTCATTTGAAATCAAGATCTGAAAGTTTTCTGCATAGTTAACTATGTGTTATTACTGAACAAATCTAAAGTATGAGAACTCATTTTTAATGTAATTGTAGTCAATTCACATGTTTTTAAATAACTCAAGTTTATCGAATGTGTGAGTTGCCTGTTTGTGATCACACAGTCCATTCGACCCGTTTTCCAATGGAAAGGACTTGTTTTTCAATGGAAAGGACTTGCTTATGATTTTGCCACAATAGACTGGAAGATTCAGGTCATAGAATTTTGGAATCAATCAGCCCTTGGATGACGCAGGATGACTGGGAGAGAATCAAGGACATATAGGAGTGTTTGGTCGTACCCCGTCTGTGTCAGTTAAAAGGCTGTCTGCTCTCACTTGTGTACTTGCAAAGTTTGACACAAACTGTGTCTTTCTCCTCAGAATAGTCAAGAACCAACTATTACATTAGGACATGGTTTGTCTCCACTCGAGCATTATTCAGTGATGCAGCCCATGTTCAAGACACAGTACAACATGGAGAATTATGAAGGTGCACATAGTCCTTTTTTCCTGTTGTTTGGGTCAATAGATTGATAATGAAGGGAGTGAAATTATAGCTGCAGTTGAATTTAATAACAGCTGCAAAGATTTAGAGAGAAGCAGCATCCCAGGGAAGCTGAGAGACCCTCACAAAAGCATGGGCATATCATTTGTTTTAGAAAGATAGGTGAATGGTACAATCAGAATCAAAGCCTGTGTAGATCCAGTGTTCTTTGCCTTTGGACACCTTTATTTAATGGGAAATTTCAGTCTCAACTTTTTTGAATGGACAGGGTGAATGTGGAGGGAGCAGAAGTCCATGGATTGTCATTGGGGAAGAAGTCACTGCCCAAGATAGGTCGAGACCTAAGAGAAGGTAAGTACCTGCAAGGTTTTATTTCTATGAAGAGGGTATGGCGGGGAATTCTTTAAGTTTTCTTTAATTCCTTTTCACAAGTGGTGTAGGATCTTTCCCTGAGATCACCACTCCCTTTATTCCATTTTACATGAGGATTTTCTTTAATCTGTTTATCTCCTTGAACACTGGACATAACTCCATTTCACTTCCTAGTGCCCCTTTTTTCCTCAGATTGTACATTTTGTGTTTTTCCATCCTTAGCTTGCTCCTTTTCATTATAAATCTGCACAAGAGTGAACACTAATAACCACAAGACAGAGTTAATACTAGGCTGTTTTGATATTTCCTCTGCTAATGCAATTAATCCAAAACTCTTCACTTTAGCCTCAGGCACATTTTTTTGAATATATTATAAGAACAGTCTCTAGACCACATACTAAAATTCTTCTTCTCTGAAACCTTGAGCCAGGCCCCCATAGTTCAAATCCCCCTCAGCACCACAGTCTCACATGTTCCTGCTAGGATGGTCCATTAACCCCCACTTAAAGCATTCAACTACTTTTCTAATCCACAGTCCCAAAGTCCATGTTCTTTCAAACAAAAGCATGGTCAGGTACCCCAGTCCCTGGTACCAACTTCTGTCTTAGTTACAGTTTTATTGCTCTGAATAGACACCATGACCGCTGCAACTCTTATAAAGGAAAACATTGAATTGGTGCTAACTTAACAGTTCAGAGATTTAGTCCATTATCATAATGGTGGGAAGTATGGTAGCATGCAGGCAGACACGGTGCTGGAGAGGGAGCTGAGAGTTCTATATCTCGATCCACAGGTAGCAGGAAGTAAGCTGACTTGAGCTTCTGAGATATCAATACTAACCCCTAGTGACACATTTCCTCTAACAAAGCTACACCTACTCCAACAAAATCACACCTCCTAATAGTGCCACTCCCTATGGACCAAACATTCAAACACATGAGTCTATGGGGGGCCATACCTATTCAAACCTCCACAGAGATTGAGATGGAAACCATATTTTCTTTAAGATTAAAAATAAGTCTGCAATTATCTGAAATCAACACATAAACACAAGAATGCTTCAGATCTGTATATCATTGCAAATGTGTTTCCAAATAATCCTCCCATCCTTTGAACTAGACAGGACTATGTGGCCCTCCCCATTTTCAGCTTAATACTTGAGGCTTAGAGAGATCACTAGATTTATTTCTGTTGCCCAGCTAGTTAGTGAGTGCTGGATAGTGTGGGATATGACTACATATCCAAGGATCATGGAGAAGATATAGGTCATGTGGGGTATTAGGTTAGTTCACCTAACATACTTAAATAATTAAGATTTGAGCAGGGCTTTGAGTAAACATAGATTTTATTTTTATTTTTTAAACATGTATGATATGGTAGAAATTTAACACAGGGCCTTCTGCATGTTGGGCAAGCAGCCCAATACTGATCTACAACATCAGCTTGCTGTTTTTCATTAATTTCAGTAGTCGCCCCTTAAGCAACTCCGCAGCTACCGGTAGCAGTTCAGCCACACTGGCCATAGCCAGGCGGGAATTCTGATCCCCCAGGCACCAGCTCTATCATGGCTGCTAAAGGGAACTTTACCTAGATCTCTATCCCTCTATAGAACTCAGGATTCAAAGGTTAAGGTGAAATTCTGTTCGCTCAGAGAGTCTGAATAGAAAGAAACTAACCTTTTCTCCTAACTCACAGCTCCCCCAAAATAGTGCATCATTCTGCTCAGCCCCCATTTAAGAACCCTAGTTACACATGCTTCCTCCCTACCACTTCCTATCAGCTAGTTGCCAACTTAGCCTCCTGACCCCAGGTTAATTTTAATTTAATCAGACAAATGTACCATGTCTTTAGATCATTAAACAAATATTCTGCAGAATAAACAAATGCAACAAATCTTAAATTAATAGTCCATAATGTCAGCCCTAAAGATACTTCAGACTGATTTTATAGGAGCGTGCAGAGAGCCATTCCAATGGGTAAAACAATTGGAACAAAAGCATGGAGACAAGAGAACAGAATGTTATATGGACATAAGAACAGAATTAGTGGAATTATAGAGTACTGCTAAAAGCAGTTTTCACATGGGGTCAAGCATTGTTATTGTAATAATATACTATTAGCAAGAGTACTATAGACAATATTTGTAGTACTTCTTAACAGCCATTATTGTTTATATATATAATTTTTAAGCAAATTTACATAACCTTCATTTTAATAGTAGAAGTTTCTCAAGAGGGTATTCTTGAGAATATAGTTACTTCTCCAGAGTCTCACAGGACATCAGCCAAACACTTGAACCCTATAGTCACGTTCAGAACCTGATTATTATGTTTTCTCCTATATCTACTGCATTGATTACAAATAGTTCTACCTAAAACATAGCCTAAAGGATAAGCCTTGATGATTAGTCCCAGGACTGGCCTTATCTTAAAGATATCAGAGTCTGAGCTGGGCCTGGTGGCACACACCTTTAATCCCAGAATGCAGGAGGCAGAGGCAGGTGGATCTCTGTGAGTTCAAGGCCAGCCTGGTCTACAAAGGGAGTTCCAGGACAGCAGCCAGGGATGATACATAGAGAAACCTTGTCTCTAAAAACCACAAGTAAGTAGATAGATAGATAGATAGATAGATAGATAGATAGATAGATAGATAGATAGATAGATAATAAATGGTATCTTTGGATTTTGTAAATTTGACACATGTTCAAAGAACTCAGAAGCATGCTTAGCAGTTTACTATGAAAGTTAGCATGCAGAATACAAACGAATAACCAGATGAAGTATATACAGGGCACAGGTCTTCCTGTACTCTCTCTGCACACTGCCCTCCCAGAACCTCCACTGCAAACTTTTATAAATCCGGTGTTAAAGACTGTTACAGAGCCTGATGTCCACCTCCTCTATCCCCCAAGCTGCAGATTGCAATCTTTAGTCATTCGTCTTTCTGGGACTAGACCCATTTGGAGTCTATCTAAGGGATACACCATAAGTCACTTTATTAGCATAGAAAGTTCAGGTCTGATATTTTTACAAAGACTATGAATGATTAAACACACTTCTATGATTCAGGAAACTTAAGTGTTTTAGTCAAGTTGAACAAGGAACTGGTAACAAAATGCAAATGCATTTCTTATTAAACCACAGTGGCAATGCCCTCAGACACTCAAATAGGATCCAAATTGAACATAGTGGTAAGCTATAAAATTACCAGGCCCAGAACACTCCCACAGCTTGGCAGAAAGCAGATGCCAAGGGGGCAAGGTTCCAGGAGGCATGTGCCATAAAATAAAGTCTCTGTCACTTTTCCTGTTGTTTGCAAAGTGTCCACTGTCTCCTTGGGTTAGAGTTTAATAATATTCACCCAGGGCAGACTTCAGCACCAAGATGTCAGTCACCGGGGGCTACTTCCCAAACTAACCCCAGCCTAAGAAACATTCATGGTGACTCCCAGAAGACACCTCTGTCTCTCACCCATTCTTTTAACCCCCATTTTCCAAAGACCAGACTAACTAATGATTCCAGAGTCACTTGGCACAAGGCTGAAATAATGGTGAACTTGGAATCTGTAGGCTTGATTTCAGGATGTGTTTTAACAGGATGCACACTATGAACCATCACTCCGCAATCCCTCTATGCCTTGCTGTCGTTATCTGTGAAGGAAGATGGTCACTATCCAGGAGATGATAAGTGTGATGTCCTTTTAAAACCCCAAAGGACTGTACTCATGTCAGGGCTTATTAGCTTGCACCCTGCCCCATGCCTAGGGAGATGTGATATTTGTGGGAATATCGTTGCCCTTGCCGTGAGTCTCAAGGAGAGAGCACAAAGGCACACTTTCCTGGATGATCTTTCCTGTGACCAGGGAGTCAGAGCCAGGCGCATACTTTATGAATGAGAGAAGAATTAAGTTGTTTCACAAAATCTCCCTGCACAGTGGTTAGAAGTTGGCGGCAGCCATTAAACCAGGCCCCAGGAACCACAACCTATTGGACTACATTTTTGTTTTGATTTTCACATTTTCCCCTCTCTTGTGTAAGTCATCTTTGGACTGGGTGCATCCTCATGAATGGCAAATTTCCTTTCTCCCCCCTCTTTCTTTCTTTTGTTTGCTTTGTAAGTGTGATAAAATTCTGTTCAAAATTCTATACATTTTATAGCAATTATATTAGCTCACGAAAAGCATATTGGAAATATCAGTTTTTCCAAATTCCTGTATTCTATATATTTAAGACCATGGGGCACCCTGCTTTTATGGTACTGTTTGGATGTTACTTGTCATGTGGCTCAGGGTACTACCAATATCTCAAAGCCCTCTTCTACATATACTCCATTAAAGCAACCTTGCTAATATTGATGCCAGAATCTACTATAGTATTCTAGTGCCGCTAACTAATTGAATAATAATAACAGCAACAAATACTCATGCTGAACTTGGAGGATAGGGATTTTTTTTCCTAAATGTTTTAGCATAGTAGCGTTAAAATTCATGTTTTAAGAATAATCTTATTATAATTAAGTGAACTGCTTCAAAGCAGAAAATAATGAACACTTGGCAAATTACAAACCAATCTAGTTCCCTAGACTCTGTGTTCTCTTTCTGTTTGAATTCCATATTTGCAAACGTTTTTCAGTGAATCTACAGTTATCTTGTCTTTCCTGCTAAGGGAGTATTTTTTTCATTTCTAAATTAGAGTAAATTTGCAGCTTTCTGAGTTTAAAGGGGTCTACCTGAATTTGACTAGGAATTCTAATTGGTTGCATAGATTGCAGCATCCTTTCCAAACCGCGTGAGGAAGACCTGTGAGGGGGCAGTCACTATTTTCTGCAGGAAGCAAGAAAGCAGTTCAGTTCAACACAGCTGAGAGCAGGTGTTCATTCAGACTTTGGGAACCAGTCGTTTAGTTAAGCACAGCACGATTTGATGAAAATTTTCCTGGTGATGATTCACTCAATCCCGTGTGCACTGTCAAGTATACATCAGTCTTGAAGAACACAGTAAGATAAACAACGATTAGATGTCACTACAGTGAAACTCTTTCTAAAGTACGTGCAGCACCTTCCATAAAGGTGGGTCTATAGATTGACCACACATGACAATGTCCATAAAGAGAGGTTCTATAGATTAACTGAGGAAAACAAGCTTATGAGACGGATCTGAGGGAGGATCTGGTGTCTTCTCCCACCACACAATAGCGCAAAGGTCACCAGGTTTTTAACCACGCTCCATCCCAGCCTTCTGGACTGATAACAGGTTATGCATTCCCTCCTTTGAAGGAACAGGCCTGTGTGTTTAGCATTCCAGGTTCCACTAGTGCTTATCTGTGAGCACAAAGACCTCCATCCCTCCTACAGCAGGGCCAGAACCTGGAGGCAGAAACTGAAGCAGAAGCCATGGAAGAGTGCTGCCTACTAGCCTGCTCGCCATGGCTTACACTGACTGCTCTCTTATAACAACCAGGACCACCAGCCCTGGGGCAGCATCGCCCACAGTGAGCTGGACTGTCCCACACCAATCATCAATCCAGAAAAATGCACTAAGGTTTGCACACAGGCCAGTCTGGTGGAAGTGTTTTCTCAATGGAGATTCCCTTTCCCAAAACAATTGTAACTTGTTGGCATAAAACTAGCCGGCAAAACTGGGAAAATACTTTCAGTTCAGATAGATGGCAGAACTCATTTTCTAAAGAATTGATGGGCCATGGATATGCAGTTCTGGCTGGTTCTCAGCCAGAGGACGCCCCCTGTTCCTTGCCCCATCAGTACTAATATGAACTGTCTTGAAAGCACTCAAAGTAAATCCTTTGCTTCCTTTAAGTTTGGGTCCCTAGGGGGTGGCAGGGGTCTTTGGGAAGGACAGAGTTCAGGGTAAGGTATGCCAGGTACTGGCTAGGCTGAGAGACTGGTTGACGGGGTCCGCTTTGATATGTTAATAGGCACCCCAGTTAACAGCTTGTTCCTGGTGTCAAGCTTCCTACTGTGTGATTTGTCTTGATTCCTGTGTAGCTGAAGGTTTTCCTGTGCTCGCCTGGCACCAAGGACCCACAGCTGCTTATGAAATAATCACTCAGAAACTTATATTAATTAAAACTGTATGGCCTCATGGCTCAGGCTTCTTGCTAGTTAGATCTTACATCTTAAATTAACCCATTTCTATAAATCTATACCTTGCCACATGGCTACTGGCTAACCAGTATCTTTACATCTTGCTTCTTATCACAGTGGCGGCTGGCGATGGCTGACTCAGCCTTCCTGTTCCCAGAATTCTCCTCTCTGCTTGTCCCGCCTATACTTCCTGCCTGGCTACTGGCCAATCAGCACTTTATTTATTAACCAATCAGATCAACACATTCACAGCATACACAGCGATATCCACAGCACTCCTGTGTCCCTGTGAGGACTGCACCTCCTGGGCTATCTATTGCAGACTGTCGGGTTTTCTGTGCACCCTCTTAGAGCGCAGAAGCCGCAGGGAAGACACTCTGCTTTGTCCCTCCAGGTGGCCCTCTGCTCTATGAGAACATCACCTTCGTCTACAACTCAGAACAGCTGAACGGGACTCAGCGGGTTCTCCTGGATAATGTCCTGTCCGAAGACCAATGCCGGGAACTCCACAGCGTGGCCAGTGTGAGCACTGGAGAAGGGGACCCCTCAGTGCTAGCCCAGCTTGAGCCTGGAGCCAGTGGTCTAGAGGAGAAAAGCCCCTTGGCCAGTCTGTCCTCAGCCTCACAGGCAGTGCCCTGGAAGAGGGCAGCCCCTGCCCCAGAGTGTCCTGAGCCTGGAGGGCAGCGTTAGGGAACTAGAATTTCACTCACTTAGGCGGGAGACAGTAACCATGGAGGCGCTTTCATAGCTTTTGGCTTGCAGTGATCTGAAACTCCCACTGCTTAGTTCTTAGGAAGGAAGCCATCAGCATGTGTCCTGCCAACCATAGAAGTCGCTGGAGAAACCCCTCTATTTTAACCAGTGATTGGCCAATATATGAACAATTTGTACCAAATGTCTATTTTTAAAAAGTAGTATTTTATAATGAAGACAGAAAGATACTCCTACTAGTTAGAACTGGTATACGTGAACTCTGGGATTAAATGGTGCCGAGTGTTGATTTGGTTTCTCAGTCTCTGGAAGCCAAAGCGGAAAGGCAGCCTTGGTGGATCGTTATTGTCACTAACAGATCAATTGAATGCATTTTGTCCTCAGGGAATCATGCTGGTTGGTGATGGATACCGAGGGAAAAACGTCACCCCATACCCCCAATGAAAAGTTTGAAGGGGCAACCGTCTTGAAAGCACTCAAAGTAAATCCTTTGCTTCCTTTCAGTTTAGGTTCTTAGGGGGTGGCAGGGGCCTTTGGGAAGGGCGGATTCAGGATGAAGCCTTGAGAAGGGGGCAAGTGTGAAATGGAAACTCAGTTGGTGGCTTTGTCCTCCCTTTCGGCTGCTGAGGGTGATTCTCAGCACACAGCACACGCTCTGCCTCTGAACTACACCCCAGCCACTGCTGTGGCTGATAATACCTTCATTCCTGCATCCGTTTCCCAAGCTTCATGTTTCCTAAGTTTGGATCTCACTAAAAAACTATACAAGCACTATCCTCAAGGAGCACATGAGCTAATGATGAAAACATTCCCAAATCAGTAGTTCTTCTCTTCTCAAGAAGTATCATTAGAGGAGAATGAATGATATGTTATGGGAGAAGGGGGAGAGAGAGCAAGTAGCTTTTTACCTGGCCTCTGCCAGCAGGAAGGGCTCTCTCAGCGGCTCACTGTTCTAGCTGAACCTGCAAGCACATGGCATTTATTCTTCCTTTTCGTCAGTACAGCGATGGTCAATGGGCATTCTCTTCATGAACCCTAGAGGCTGTTTGTCTCAAGCCCTCCAGTCAACCCCGTGGTCTCTAATGCCCTTGGCGTTTTGTTTTTCCAGTTTGGTTATGAAGGCCGGGTGCCACTGAAGAGTGCTCGCCTCTTCTATGACATCAGTGAGAAGGCTCGAAAGATTGTGGAATCCTATTTCATGCTGAACTCAACCCTGTATTTTTCCTATACACACATGGTCTGCAGAACAGCCCTGTCTGGTAGGTTTCCAGAACCTGAACTTGTCCCCTTCTTCCCAGAATGCCCCAGGCAAGAAAACAGTGCACGGCCAAGCTCTGTTAGGTTCTAGAGTGATAATTTATGAGAACGCCAGATTTCTAAAACAACGGAAAGTTACTTTTTATTTTTCTCCCTTTTGTCTCTGAAAGTTCTGTAAGAGCCTTGTTCTGTACGTTTTCTCTCTTCAAGTCCATTTCTCACAGTTGCTAAGATATGCAGGAAAAAAAAAAACTGCTTCTCTGCTGTGTGTTTCAGGGACCCAGGTAGCTGGAAACTCCAATTACATGCACAAGCACAGAGTGGAGGTGTAGACAAAAAGGGGGCGGGCTCACTGAAGAGCATTCTGAGGCAGGCACCCCTCACTCCTGCCGGTTGTCTAGTTTTGTTTGTCTTTTTTTTTCTCTTCCATTCACCTGAAGGGGGGGTAGAAAGAAATATATGCCAGAGCACTTTACACTTGGGGAGAGTGAGTCAAAACCTTTGGTTTCTGTCTCCTTTTCCTCCTTGGGAATTGCCACCCCACGTGAAACTCAACCCATAAAATGCATGGGATTTACCCAGGTATAGGCATTCCATCTTTTATGCTTGAAAAGACAAGGCGTGGCTTGGCCCAAGTTTCCTATCCAGTTGTGTTCAGGAGTCTCTTGACTGGTGTCCTCCGTATCACTGCACTGCCTCTGTCTCTCCACGGTTGCAGAGGACTGAAGAAGCCTGTCCTAGTGTGCTCTCGGCTCTCCTTCTCCATCCTGCTCTCACGCTGGTCTCTTCTTCCGGCAGGGCAGCAGGATAGAAGAAATGACCTCAGCCATCCCATTCATGCAGACAACTGCCTCTTGGATCCGGAAGCTAATGAGTGCTGGAAGGAGCCTCCTGCGTACACTTTCCGGGACTATAGGTAGGGCTGCTCCTAATGAAGCTTTTGTGGGAAGCAGGAAGCCGCGTGTTCATCTCTGTGAAGTAGAGGTCTCTAGTAGGAGTCACCTGGAGCAGGAGCCGTGGCCAGACGAGCCGTCTCATTTTTATCCTAAGCATCACGCACAGATTGCCTCCTTTGAAATAGACAGCTTGCTTTATAAATCAGTGTGTTTCACTAAGGCCTATCATTGTGCATGTGTTTCCCACAAGGGCATGGTCTCCCAACGTACATAACACTTTATCACATACATGTGTATGTTGTTCACGCTCTCCAAGAACTATGTCTGCATTTTTTCCATTAAGAAAACAGAAACTCAATAGAGAATACTGTTGTATAGTATGAGGAGATATGTTAGTACATTAAGAGAAGATCTCCTAGCGTGCAACAATATATCTTAGTATGTAGTCACTATGTTTAATAACATGTCAGTTGTTGCTTTATATATTTTATTTAAAACATTTAGAGAGCAGCCTCTATCTGCATGGCCAGGCCAGGTCACAAGGAATTCATTAACGAAGCTGAGGAAAGAAAAACCCATCCTTTGGGGTTACTTTTCTATGTGGGAGGAAGAGCGTCATAAGCAGCATGGATGAGCTTAGAGGGCTGTGTGAAATAAAGCCTGAGTAGGCGTTTACAATGTAAAGTGAGTTTGAAATGAAAGTAAAACCTTATGTAAATGGAATCGATAAGCATCAAGAGTATAACCCAGGCTATCCTTGAGATTTATTTCAAGGGTTTGGAGAGTCAATATCAAAGGCAATTTACCATTCAGGCTGCTCCATTTGTCACTAGTCTTCAATATTTTCCAGTGATGCTGTTGAGGACTATATTGTCATTTGAATGGGTCCCTCCTTTCCTTATAGTGCGCTCCTGTATATGAATGATGACTTTGAAGGGGGAGAGTTCATCTTCACTGAAATGGATGCTAAAACTGTGACTGTAAGTAAGCCGCTGCCTGAAAAGTTATTTGGGATTTTTACTTCAATATTACCACCTTCCCAACATCTTACAGGTTGTTGAATTTCAAATACATCTGAGTTCAAGAATTCAAGAAATAAAGAGGACCCCAGTGATTTATAGATAATAAAAATGTTAAGCATAAGTGACTGTTCCAGTCCATTTTAAAGATGAGCAAATTGAGAAAGGGTTTTAAGGATTTGATCACAATCATATAAATAATGTTAGACTTGGAATCAAAGCCTAGAGCAGTGGTTCTCAACTTTCCTAATACTGTGAACTTTATGTACAGTTCCTCGTGTTGTGGTGACCCCCCCCCCCATAAAATTATGTCCTTGCTACTTCATAACTATAATTTTGCTGTAGCAGGAATCTTAAAAGGTCTAATTAATAAAAACAAACCTGAAGCCAGGTATTGGGGTGATGCTGGAAGATGAGAGAAGTAGAACAAGCCACAGCTAACCTCACCTCACCAGTTCCTCAGCTGATCCTGTGGGTCTCAGCTGAACTACTGCTCCAAAGCCTAAAAGCTTAACCAGCCTAGTTCCTGGTTTTCATGCCTTATATACCTTTCTGCTTTCTGCCCTCACTTCTTGAGATTAAAGGCTCACTTCCTGGAATTAAAGGCGTGAGTCACCATGCCTGGCTATTTCCAATGTGGCTTTAAACTCACAGAGATTGGATGGATCTCTTCCTCCCAAGTGATAGGATTAAAGGTGTGTGTGCCACCATTTTCTGGCCTCTATATCTAGTGGCTGTTAACCCCAGATAAGTTTCTTAGGGTGCACAATATTTTGGGGAACACAATACCACCACATTTTGCTTCTGTTATGAATCCATATAATATCTACCTATGACACCCAGAGGGGTCATGTCCCATGGGTTGAGAATGGCGGGCTTAGGTTCTGGGTCTCTGTCAAGTACTTTGATGGGACCTTCAAATATCAGATCCTAAGTCACTCAGGTCCAGGACAAATCAACTGCTTCAAGAAGCCAGTGTGCTTAGATTGAGCATGAACTTCCAAATGTGTGTGCATACAAATTGGTATATACAATTTAAGTATAAGCCATGAACTTTTCACCTCCAAATGCATATCTATACTCATAAATATTTAAATCAAAAGTCACAGCCAACCATTTTATTCATAAGCAAGCCAGTGCCTTCAGAAACCAACTTCCTTAACACTTACAGACGACAGAGTTAGACTCTTGATCTTTAAGCTGAAGATCAAACACACTATAACAACACTAAATCTCAAATGAGGAACTTACGAATTATAAATTGATTATGAGGTATCATTCTTCCTGAAACATCTAAGTGGTCGGGACATATGCATGATGAACTTCAAAGTGTTGGCATTACATAAGCAATTTTCAAAATTCTTCCCATATTTTATGCATTCAATCTTTGCTTGCACATAGTTTTCAGTTCTAAAATGCACATGGTCATTCAGGGAACATTATATATCCCGAGCTATATATCATTGGCTTAAAGGGATTATTATGAGGATTCTGGGGATAGTGAATAGAAACATGGTTATAATTTAAAATAGTTCATGAAGTTGAGTACAATGATGTCTGTTTAAACAGACATGTTGCCTCGCTTTTGTTTGAAAAGAAAAAGATTTCAGTAAGTGGTTTGAGGTTTCCTACACTGGAGAAAACAAACCAAGATTAATGATCTAGACTGGAGTTTAAATTCCTCTAAAGGATTCTCATATTTAGAAGATCTATGCGCAGAAAACATTTTATTTCCAAGCTCTGAAAACATGGAAACTAAAGAAGAAAAATGGTCACTTCTTAAATACTTGGGGAAGGGGGAGAAGGGGAAAAAAAAAAAAAATCAGATGGTTGAAGATTCCTTTTCCTCTACTCCATCTAGTGGCCAAATATGGAAGTGCCGGGTGATTGATGGTCCCAGAGACTGGTTTTCTTTGCTGAGTTTAAGTGCTGCCTTGCTGCTTCTATGTGTGAAAGTGGAGGATATTCTCATTTCATAGTTCTACAGTTCTAATTACTGAAGCATCCCACAAAACCCAGAATCTACTTCCCACCAAGAAGTGAACGAAAAAAATGTTAAGCTTTTAATAGAGAAGTTCAGTAGTAGTTCATGATTGTTCATATAGCAGAGTTTTAGGGCTTTTGTGGATGATTAAAATGATCAGGTAGGAATTCTTAAAAACGAGGAATTCCCATTCCCCTCTTTTTCTGTAACAAACTTCATCCAATCTCAGGAGAAGTGGCGGGGTTCCTTTTCCTTCCCACACTGGATACTGAAGGACACAGAGTGTGGGTCCCAGCTCCCACACCAGGTGGCTCACAACTGTCTCTAACACCAGCTTCAGGGGGCCCATGCCCTTTTCTTGTCTCCAGGGACACCTGCGCACATGTGCATGACACACCACACCACACACACACACACACACACACACACACACACACACACAGGTTCTTAGTTTCAATTTTACCTGCTTCCGGCTTCCTACACACAGTCACAGGACCAGAGTAAATCTATGTAGCATCCAAAGTCTTTAGAAAAAAATTCAAACATGTCCCTGAGAAGGTTAGAAAGAGAGAGCCTCATAGCTGTGGAATGCACTTGTCTTCCCTACCCACAATGGCCGGGGCTGCCATTGTTCACTGGCTGCACTTGCCCAAGCCCAATGGGATGAATAAGCTTTCATCATTTCCTAAAGGATCCAAAATGGTCTCTCCTCCCTACCCCACACACCTTTTACGACACAGGACCAGGGCCTCCAACACTCAGTTGCCCGCGCTCGCTCAGCCCGAGGAGGCTCTTGTTGACTCCACACTGTAATCCTGTGCCCCCACAGAGTGTGTCCCCTCACTTTGTACACTATACACAGTGTGTGCCAGAAAGTCACTGGACAGCTGAGCAGTGCGCGCGCTTGGAATTGTTGTATCAGTCATTCCAAATCTCTGGAGCCGTGAGTAGGTCACCCCAAGGGCTGGTGTGTTCTCATCACTGGAGATGGCCAAGTGATGCCTGTATGTCCCCTGGGCAGGAATAATGCAAAGGAAATGAATTCAGATCTTCATGTTATGACAACTGAATAAACCATAGGGGTACAGTTGGGGAATTAGAAAGGTGTATAACCAGGTAACTGCGACCTAAAATTTCTGTGGAACCCCCCTCCTAGTCCTGGTTTCCTTCTAATTTCACAGATATTAAAATGCACAGCCACCTTAAGCACCAATGAACTGGTAGTACCAAAAGCTGTAGTAGTGCATTGAAGTGGAAGGTTTGTGTTCTTGGATGGGCATGTTGTCACCAGAGCACATGCCATGTGATTCCTATGTGCATGGGATGTGCCACGCATGTTGCTTAAGTGGTGTTATTATATAAGGTAAATTATTTTGAAACTATTTAGATTTTACCGGTAAAAAAAAATAATCAAGACAATCTATGTTTTTTTCAATGCTAAGATCCCATCATTCTTTGCGTCAAAATTGATCCCAAATAAATAATCACACAGAAGGAATGATAAAAGGACACATGGTGTAGGAACTGAAAGTCTAATTTTTATTTTGTTGTCAGGCCTCTATTAAACCAAAGTGTGGGCGAATGATCAGCTTCTCATCTGGCGGAGAGAACCCTCATGGGGTGAAGGCGGTCACCAAAGGCCAGCGCTGCGCCGTGGCGCTGTGGTTCACCCTAGACCCTCTTTACAGAGAACTGGTGAGTTCACAGTCGCCCAAAAGGCGGCCCTGCTCCCCTGGCCTGACCTCTCTCTGAAAAGTCCTTTGCATTGTTCCTAAGCCTGTAGTGACTTCTGCAGTGGGATCGGTGGAGAGGAGGGTTGGGACAACAGCTCCTACCCAGCTGAGTTCTAACCAGGAAGGCATTTGCGAAAATAGGGCACCATTAGTGCACAACATTGGCTGTCAGGACAGATGCCGGGTCTTGAGCTCACTAACATACCGTACCATTGGCCGCCAAGGACTTTCTCCCCGGTCATTAAAAAAGATTAGATCATCAAAACGTCACTAACTAGTGCATGGGGAGGGATAAAGGGACCTGGATGATCACTATTATTTGTTATATTATTAAGTTGAATGATCTTTTAGCATATTGTATTTGAATATTATATTTGAAGTGGTCGGGACACTTACTGTTTTCCATCTGTCAAGAGCCCAGAAAGGTCAGACCGGCAGACAGAGTAGAAACTCCTGAGAGAAGACAGGCAGGCTCCCTTGAGGGAGTAACTTCCAAGTCGTCCACCTTGGTTCAGTGGGGATTGTCAGTTTGCAGACAGCAACCAGAGCTCCACCCAAGGTCAAGAGATAGACTGCAGTGGTCTCTAAAGGAGAACGTGAGGCCAACAGCAGAAGTCTGTTGATACCTCTAAGGTCCACTCAAGACCTGGGTGTGGATGGAGAGGTGAAATTCTATTTTTCCCCTTTAAAGGCTTTTCTCTGGTTGTTGTTGAGACAGGCCCTCTCATTGTAGAACTGGCTATCTTGGAACCAACTCCCTCTGTAGACCAGGCTGGCTTCCAACTCACAGAGATTCTCCTGCCTCTACTTCCCAAGTGCTGGAATTCAAGGCGTGCACTAAACCCAGTTACAGATTTATGTAGTTTTTGATAATGTGTCTATGTGTGAGTATGTGCCTGTGTGAGTACAGATGATGTTCTGATGAGGAGGACATTTAGCTATCTGGAGGAAGAGTGAGCCACCAGACATGGCAATTGAGGACTGAACACCAGTCCTCTGCTAGTCCTTAAGTACTTTTGAGACAGGGTTTCTCTGTGTAGCATTGCGCCTTTCCTGGAACTCACTTTGTAGCCCAGGCTGGCCTCAAACTCACAGAGATCTCCCTGGCTCTACCTCCCGAGTGCTGGGATTAAAGGTGTGCGCCCCCACCGCCCGGCTTGAGCCCTAAGTATCTTAACCAGGGTCATCTCCCAGCCTCTGAAATGCCTGTCTTAAAATGATGCCATATTTTTCCCTTTAAATTTGTAAACTGAGTCTAATTTCAGCAGCAGCAGTTTAGAAATAGCCCCCTTTCCATAATCAGAAAGGGCATTTGCTTTTTTCCCACACTCTCGAAGCACTTTCTTCGCTGCCTAGGTAGGGCTTTAAGGTGAAAAGGTGAACAGAAGCCTGGACTACAAGGAGCAGGGACTGTCCCACAGCTAGGGAAGTAGTTCACAGCAGAAGCGCCTGGAGTGAGGCAGTAAGGACCACTTGCGTTATCTCAGGCACAAAGACGATGACAGCCTGGCACAGAAAGGCAAGGACAGCACTGGTGGAGAGAACCCAGCAGAGCCCGGAAACCTTCCAGGCCTCCTTCACCTGTAGTTTCTCTTTCCTTGAAGTTTTAATCTACAAAATGCCACCACCACTCCCCCTATCTATCTTAAGGTCCAGACAACAAATTGTGGAAAAATCAGCCCCATTTTTAGTATTAATTTGATATCATTTTGATATCCATCACGCCTTCGCGATGCATTGTAGCATTTTATTAAAACAATTAATGCAAACCAAGTTCTCTGCTCCTTCCTACTCAGGGTGCTTCAACACCAGTATTCTTGCCTCTTGGAAAAGTCCTCAGAAACTTCTCCACTCTGCAGGCTGTAGCGGCATCTAGTGGTCTCTGTAGGAAATGACAAGAGCCCCTTAGCGTTGTTAATGGAAAATTTTCTCTTCTGCCCTTGCTTGATTCAGGGTCCTGTAAGAACACCTAATGCCTGACTCCTACCTTCAGATGTTCAGATCTAATTATGTAGGGAACTAGTGTTGCTAGAGTTTTCCTGCCTGGCCCACAGTCAGGACAAATCTCTCTCACCCACCAGTCCCAAGCCGCTTAAAACCCGATCAAGTAAACACAGAGACTTATATTGATTACAAACTGTATGGCCGTGGCAGGCTTCTTGTTAACTGTTCTTACAGCTTAAATTAATCCATTTCTATTAATCTATACCTTGCCACGTGGCTTGTGGCTTACCAGTACTTTACATCTTCCTTGTCCTGATGGCGGCTGGCAGTGTCTCCCCTTCCAGCTTCCTGTTCTCTCAATTTTCCTCTCTGTTAGTCCCGCCTATACTTCCTGCCTGGCCACTGCCAATCAGTGATTTATTCATTGACCAATCAGCAACACATTTGACATACAGACCATCCCACAGCACCTCCCCTTTTCTTTTCTTAAAAAGTAAGGTTTTAACCTTTACATATCTCCAAAGTCAGCTTGGTATATTTGGGAATTTGGGCGTAGCTTCTCTTACTACTTCCTGCTGGAGGGGGGGCGCTGTATCTTTTGGGGAAACAAAGAAAATTTTAGGATCATGGAGTAGTCCGTGAGGCTGTATCATCTGAGCCAGTTGCCTTGAAACGGTTCTGGATGTTGGATCATCTGGGCCATGGTGTCATCGGAGACCTTTCAGGTGGTCTTGGCTGGTCAAACCTGATGTGTCTTAATCTGGAACAAATCCATAGCCTCTTGCTTTCTGTGGAAACAAAAGAGACTCTTTTCCAAAGCAACATATCCTTACATCCAAATTTTGAAGTCAAAGTATCTTTAAAATATACATACTGGTTTAACTCAGTTTCCTTTATAATCAAATATCTCTCTGTAGTTAAGAATCCCAAAGACAACACAATCCAGACTCTCTGTGTAATAGTCATCTCTACGTGGCTTATTTTTTATATTAATTTTACTGTCTCTTTAAAGACTTTATTTTTTAAAACCATGTATTTGTTTCTATACTGTATATATCACCTTTTTTTTTTCTTTCAAGCCTACGTATATTTTACACACATTTTAAACTATTACATCTGAATCTGTCTTATTGTGAATCTATTGCTTTGAACTGCAGCCTTCTAAGCCTGAAAGGGCGCTGGTGCTGTGGCTGCTGGCTCCGCCCACTTCAGCTTCCCAACATGGCGACGGCGGTATGCTTACCGCCAGTTCTGGGAGCCATCGTGGGTCTATGTTTTTATCCAAGCAGCATGTAGCCCAGAAACCTCTTTTTTTTTTTGTTTTGTACTAGCAAAGGCTAAATCCACAATGTAGCTTAATGTGCCACTTGCAGAGGCCTCATTCCCGCCATACTGCAGGTCGAGCGCGCACGCCAGCAACCCGCCAGTAGCTCAAACCGGCAGCTGCCGCTCATTTGAGAGAGACAATTAGGAAGCTGTTTTTAGCTCCGTTTTAGAATCTTTTTTTTTTTAGGTTTTAGGTGGAAAACTCTTGCCACCCACGTTGGACGCCATTTGTTGCTAGAGTTTTCCTGCCTGGCCCACAGTCAGGACAAATCTCTCTCACCCACACCAGTCCCAAGCCGCTTAAACCCGATCAAGTAAACACAGAGACTTATATTGATTACAAACTGTATGGCCGTGGCAGGCTTCTTGTTAACTGTTCTTACAGCTTAAATTAATCCATTTCTATTAATCTATACCTTGCCACGTGGCTTGTGGCTTACCAGTACTTTACATCTTCCTTGTCCTGATGGCGGCTGGCAGTGTCTCCCCCTTCCAGCTTCCTGTTCTCTCAATTTTCCTCTCTGTTAGTCCCGCCTATACTTCCTGCCTGGCCACTGCCAATCAGTGATTTATTCATTGACCAATCAGCAACACATTTGACATACAGACCATCCCACAGCAAACTAGCTCAGTACCACGGGTTTATAATTCCCCAGATGGTTCTAATATGTAACAAAAGTTATGAATCTCTAGTTTAAACCCCAACTTTGACTGGATCCTGAGCAGAGAAAGCCTGTCCAAGAATAGTGAGTGAGTAGCAGATTGTATGTGTGTGTGTGTGTGTGTGTGTGTGGTGTGTGTGTGTGTGTGTGTGTATTACTGAATGGGTGGTGGTGGCCCATGCTTTTAATCCCAGCACTGTGAGGCAGAGGCAGGCAGATCTCTGAGTTCAAGGTCAGCCTGGTCTACAGATGAGTTCCAGGAAAGCCAGGTCTACACCGAGAAATCCTGTCTCAAAAGACAACAAATAACCAACCAAACAAACAAACAATAAATAGATAGATAATAAATAATAAGTAAAAATAAATAAAAGATACTCCTGATCTTCAAGAAGTTTCAGTCATATACACACATAAAATGTTCGGTGCCTTATAGGCATCTGTCCCAGCACTGGGGTCGCCCGCCTCTCTTTAAGAGAAGCACATGCTGATCATTTCTCGCAGCCATCAAATGTGAAAGCCTTCCGTGTACGTCAGCTGGCGAAGCACTGCATTTTCAGGGGTAACTATGTGGTCTTCCGTGGCTCCTTTAGTTGCCCGTGTGTGACAGCATGATTAACTCTGAGTTCCTGCATGGAAAGAGCTTTGTTTTCAAATCAGAATATGGTTATTCTTCTAATTTAGTGTGCTGGAAACTGGACGAGGGACTGCCATTGGGGAACAGGAATTGGATGGGGCATAAACTCTACTTTCATGGAACATTCAAGTCAAACCAGAGAGATGGTAACAGGGACTCAAGCTATTAAGACACAAGGCACATTGTGGAAGAATTGTCTGCAGCAGATGATGACTTAGGGCCACAAAGAGTCAGCCAGGGAAGGTTTAATTTGGGGGGCAGTGTTGGAAATAAGCTTTATAAGATGGGCTCCTTTAGGGAGATTCATTTTAGGCCTTCATCCACATATAAATACTTCTTCTTTAAAATAGTGGAGGTAGTAGCTTTTTAAAAAAGATTTATTTATTATGTATACAGTGTTCTGCCTATACACCAGATCTAATTATAGATGGTTGTGAGCCACTGTGTGGTTGCTGGGAATTGAACTCATGACCTCTGGAAGAGCAACCAGTGCTCTTAACCTCTGAGCCATCTCTCCAGTCCCAAGGTAGTAGCTTTTTCGGGCACTGGAAATATGACAGTGATCAAGAAAATGAGATTTTTCTGCTCTCCTGGACCTACATTCTAAAAGAAGAAAAAAGACAACAAATAATCAAAAAAAAAAAAAAAAGGAAGAAAGAAAGAAAAAAAAAGTAAATGATCAGAAGATTTTTTTTTTCCAACAGCAGTAAGTGATACGTAGAAAACAGGCTAAAATAACGGTAGACAGTAGATAAACTAGGAGGGATCTCCAAACATGTGCCATGCAAACCGCAACCCGAGTGGCAGGAAGAGCCAGCAAACAGGAACATGGCGGGGGGAGTGGCGGAGAGTGGGCGGGGGGGGGGGGGGAGTATTCCAGGTAGAGGACTACTTCCAAAAGACCAGAGAGAAGAAGAGGTGTGGAAAAGAGTCGTCAAGAAACAAAGATGGGCGGGGAAAAGCTCTGTGTCAGAGCACACATTTGCCTTTGTGAGCCCCTGGGTCCAATTCCTGGCACCAAGAAAACACACAAAAGACACAGCCTCCAAAGAAGCTAGAAGGAAAGATTTTATAAAAGATAAGAGCTGGATGGAGGTGAGGCTAAAAAGGAGGCAGGGACCACATTTTATATTTCATATTAAGATACATGGCTTTTATTCTGGCTGCCAGGAAGCCACTGCGCTCACCCTCTACCCTCTACACCGGGGTAAGCTCCCCCAATCCCTGGAAAGAAAAGATGATGTCAGCCAACTTAGATGTGGACTTAGATTAGATGAATAACCCGGGTAACTGATGTGGAAGGTTGCCTGTGAAGTTTGGAGGAAGACCCGCTGGCCCTATGCTGCACTGGTGTGGAGTAAAGGAAATGCAGCCTATACCGGAAGCATCCAGGGGAGTGTTTTGCCCAGATTCGAGCTGGGAAACTATTTTAAGAATGAACACTTAGAGACTTTGAGGTAATCTGGAGTCGCAGTATAAAGTGAGCAGAGAGGCAGGACACAATATGACTGGAAAAGACAGAAAGGCGTGGATTTAAAAAAAAAAAAAAAACAAAAACAAAACCTGACAACCCACCGAGGAAACAGAACCTGCAACCAACTGGAGTTGTGAACCCCACATAGGACAGTGTTGCAGTTCAACTTGTGGGAGAATGTCCACAAGGAGCCTGAGTGAGGAATGAAACTTGTTTGGAACCTTCTAGAGCACTTATTGAGAAGGATCTGAAGGAGTTACTCTTAAGATGTAGCACTTAGCTATTTAGGGGACATTTTACAATGTCTAGATACATTTTTAGTTCTCACAAAGTGGGAGACATCTTGTATACCAGGGATGTTAACATCTACAGGACACAGGAAACTCCTCTACACACACACACACACACACACACACACACACACACACACACACACACCACAAAATGTCAGCAACGCCATGGCTGAGAAACTCTGACCCAAAATAAGCCAATAGCCATGCTCCATGATGGGGACAGAAACAAGACACAGAAGAGCCAGGGCCAAAGGTGTATCCAGTGGAGAGGACCAGGGCCAGGGCCGAGCTTTTCAGGCACATGCTGAGCCACAGTAGGCTTTTCTGAGAAATAGAGGTCTTATAAAAGAGCTTGACAGGGCGAGGGGGAGAAAATGGCAAGCTCAGTCTAAACGCTGAGTTGAGCGGAGGATGGTGGTGGGACCGCGAGACAGGAAGGGTAGAAAGCCATCATCGGATGAGGCTCCATCGGGAGATCTCTCAGAAGGTAATTGCTTAGGACACGGGGATGTATGGAGAATGCGCCAGTTTGGATGAAGCAGGCTTTTCCCTGACTGCGCACAGATGGCTGGCTGGAAGTGTTGGGGAAGCATCTGCTGCCGGGCCTGGTTATTACGCCGATCCCAGAAATGTGTCAATTGTCTTTTTGCAGGAGCGGATACAGGCTGATGAAGTGATTGCCATCTTGGATCAAGAGCAGCGCGGGAAGCATGGACTGAATATTAACCCCAGAGATGAGCTATAGAAAAGAGAGTGTTCTATCGACTATTTATTTAAATTGTTAATCTTATAAGAACCTTTTTATTTTTGTACAGAGCCGTGGTATAAATTAACAGGATACAGTGAGTCGCTGGATTCCCCTTCTGTTCCTAACTCGGCTGGCTTTGCCTTCCTCATGCTCTTGGTTGTCTTCAGTTCATCATTCAGAACCCAGTCACACCTCCAAACACACATCACACACACTCTGCACACTACACAGCCACACAGGTAAACATATAACACTGATATGCTACAGAAACACACATATGCCACTCACATACCACAGAAATTTCCAAACATGACACACATACATATACCAAACACACCCAAACACATACCACCCAGATAGACAATCTCTCTCTCTCTCTCTCTCTCTCTCTCTCTCTCTCTCTCTCTCTCTCTCTCTCTCTCTCTCTCTCTCTCTCTCTCTCACACACACACACACACACACACACACACACACAGAGTACATACATACACAATTAACTTGCCGCACATTCAGAATCTCAGCACAATAGGCTGGTTCTCAGCAACCCCACAGCTAGAGTGTGCCCTAGGTCTAAAGTGAGTATGTGAATTGGTCTCAGGCCTCTGGCTTGCTGCCTTTCCCTGTGGCTTCTCATGGTGCTGATGGCTGATACAGACTCTTCACAGCAAGCTTGGCTTGGGTCTGGTCTGAGGAGCCCCCGACACAGTCTGCATGGCCCAGAATCACAAGCAGCAGCATCTTTCAGATTCGAGGAAGCCACCACTGGAATAAGGACTGTGACCCAGGGCCCCCCTGCCAGGGCCTCTGTGGACCGTGAAGACTGGTATTATCAACCGAAGTTTTGATTCCCCTCCAAAGTGCTCTGTAAGAGGCAGCCTCCGACTTGTCCTTAAACAGTCACACAGAGGTCCAGCAGCACAGGTTCATCCCAGTGATGTTGGAAGAACATCTTTAATCCCCCTGCCTCAGGCACTGTTGCTGGGCTGCTGGAGAGGGGCTGCTGCTGGTGAAAAAGTGGAAACCCTTCTCAAAGGCTGCTCCTTGTCTGCCTCGGTTGGGCAACCTCTTCCAGGAGCGGTTATCAGCTTACAGAGGCATGCTGGGTCCAAGCTGTTTAATAAAGGGCGCCTTGTTACAGCATTTGTCTTCTTGTAAATGTCCACTTTACCTTCCGATGGTGGTTTGTAACTGTCTGGGACAACCCAGAAGCAATGGGGCCATGACAGTTTCGCTAGCAGACAGTGGGCAGCAAGAAAGCGGGCTACTTGCTTTGGAAGGAACAGAACTGGCTAGCAAGTTAGGATGTTAAGCCAGAGACCTTGAAGACGTAGGGGCTCACCGCAAAGGCAGTGCTTGGCCTTAGGTCTTTATCTAGCTTCTGGGAACCTGTGGCGTGTCTAGGCAATGGGATACCACACCTTTACTAGTGCAACGTACCCTAGTAAAGGGGAGGTTTACTTCCCGTCACTGGTGATCTGGTTAGTGCTAAGAACATTTGCTCTCTGAAACTGAGAAATTCAACTGCAGGACTGTGTGCGGTCAGCCTGTCACCGCCAACCCAGAATTCTGGTTGCATCTCTGCCATGGAAGAACGGAAAAAGCACGTGACTCCCAAGTCACCTCGAGCCACTCCCTTCCTCTTTCTGGGCCCCAGTTTCCTTTTCTGAAAATGGTGCAATTCGTTATAATTCTTTCCAAAATCCTATGCCTTGCTCAAGAGACAAACCAATAAATAGCAAGGCTAATTTTAGAAATACTAACAAATAGGAGCAAACATTTCAGCTAACACCCGAGAGTTGCGAATGAGGTCACTACAGGTGTATGCAATTATGAAACTTTAACCCCAACTCTAGGTTAGCCGTTCCTGAGATGTGAAGAAGTTGATTATTATTTGTTTGCTCTCCACTGCAAAGCACTTGCTGGCACTCAGACTCAATGATCGGCCGATTTGGGCAAGGATCTAATTTCTGTTTTCTGGTAACAAGACATCAACAAAGAAATCAGTCCTTGGCTCCTCACAGTTCCTGTTTCCTGGGTGCGCAGATGGCCGGGGAGAGGCAGCAGCTTCAGCACAGGGTGTGCCATTCAGCCCGTAGAAAGTGGGCAAAGGCCTCAGTAGACGCCGCAGCCGCTGTTGTGCGAGATCTCATCTTGTGCCATGCTGACAGCAGGGAGCGGTTCTTCCCGTTCTGCTGGTTGGCCGTGTTGCTTTACACCTGGAACATTGAGGATATACTAAAGCATTCATTTTTTAATCTGCTCCACATCAAACCAAGCATAATTTCATTCAAATATTTAGGGAGTGCCATCAGATGACTTAAGACAGCCAAACTCAGAAATTCAACTCTCTATGTTACATAGTCCTGTTTGCAAAGAAGTGGAAAATCCCATTGGAATTGTTGTTGTCTTGAGAGTTGAAGAAAGCCATAGGAATTACAATTCAATTCCCTCTTTTTCTTTGGGCAAAAACAGAGGCTCAGAGATGATCCTGGGATGACTGAATTCTAACAGACAGGACCGGACTAAAGCCAGAGCTGTTGGAATGGGGGATGCAAGGATGCCTCGCAGCACATGGGGGCTGGAATCCAGGCTCAGGTCTTCCTCTACCTAGAGAACTGGTACCCATCGTTCTCTTTGGCCAAATATGTGACTTACTCATCCATAGCTCTGCAGGTCTGAATTCTTCCACCACGGGTACTTTTTCTAGTTTACACAGAAGGACTCTGTGGTCAAGGCAGCCTAAACAACAAAGGGGCTTAAGGGACCATTTGCCCCTTCCTTTGTAAAAATTCGAAACTTCACAAGGCTTTTGTTTTTCATCATGCTATCATATTAAACCATTTTAACATTAAACGTGCTCACACCTGAGGAATCCTGGGGTTTTCTAAGCACGGGATATGATGCCCATTTAGCAGGTGAAGACAGACAGGGTGAACAGCAAACACAGTATAGTGACTGCCTGTCGGCAGTCCCTCGACTCAGAGCATGGGGCCTGAGGGCAATGCAAGATCTTTCCAGAGAGAAGAGAAGCAATCTCAGAGCTGATGCTTTCTCTGTCATCTCCCCAGGCCTATCTAACATGCTAACAGAAAAGAAGGTTTGATTTTACAGAGTCAAGAAACTCCCTCTCCTTTCCTGCTAATAGCTGTGTGGTGACACACTTTTCCTTCTGTCCCCTGAGATACACTGGACACACGTCCCTAATTCAACTTGATTCCAGACATCCCTAGTGCCCAGCAAAGTTGGTGACAGGCATGAAGATGATGGCTGGGTGTCTTTTTCTGTCCCTCAAAGGCAGAGACATTCTTCAACTCAAATTTGGAAGAGACTGACACAGGACGGTGCCCCCTGGGATGTGAAAAGCTTTCTGCCGGGCCTGCCTCTCAACTACAAGGAACTCTTCATTGTTTTCCTGGCTTTTCATCATTAGCACGTAGGTAACATTTCTTTGGCACTCATTCAGCTGAAGAGGAGCCACGGAATGAGTCAGTTCCATTTAATAATATATGCCTATGAATTTTAATTGAAGTACAAATGCTGAATTATTTCACGTAAGACAGCCACAGGGAAGAACTCCCTCATTGACGTCAAGGAGGGAGTAATGGGGCCACCTCAGCAGGTCCTCATGCCAAAGCATCAAGCATTCTGTGGAGCCTGACAGAGCCATAGCTGAAAAGTGGGGGAAAGGTGCAAGTGATCCCACATCCTGAGCTCTTAGGGGGCAAACAGGAGCCATCTGGCAAAAATTCCAAACCACGAGGCCATGGTTCTCTTCCACCTGCTGTCAAGAAAGCTATGATGTGACGTGACCTCCTGAAATGGTCCCAGAGGCCCACCCCGCAAATCTCTTTGGCTCCCAGATAACTTGATGTTTCCAATCTGAGACACGGGGCCTGTTTTGTTTTGTTACCTGGTTGATATCTTCAGACACATCGAGACAAGTCACATCACTGCTGGGCTGGAGCTATGGAGTCAGGTTGTGAGACTCCCTGTTGCCTATCCTCCCTGAAAATCCCAATGCTTTCTGTGCCCTCTACTGCCCTGACTTCTGAGACCAGAAGAGGACAAGCATGGAACAATCTGATCACTGACCTTGGTCTGCCGTACAATGCATGGCAAAGGCCATGTGAAAATATTTGAATTAGTGAATCATCTCTGGCTGCAGAAATCTTACGAGGGAGCCCTAACATAATAGCTGAAGAATTTATATTCCCACTCTCTTTTCTGGAAACAAGATTGGGGAGGGAGGATATGATTAACCATTTAATTCACTGTCAAACATATTTTTTTCTGGTCACAATTTCTGTACTTCTGGAGGAAGGAGAAACAAGGAGACGAGGACATGTCCTGCTTTTCCTTCCTCCATGGGCTAGTATCAGAGAGCATCCAGGAGAAAGGTTGGGTATCGTTTCTGCTAACTGCCCTTCTCGCTTGCTTGCTCGTCTCCTGTTCTTAATAAATAAGAAAAAGCAGTGTTTTTGTCTGAGCCTCCATTTCAAACTCCAACTGGACGTTGATCATGTTTATATGTGGAAACCCTTGCCTGTGCTCCTCTTCTCAGACGTGGGTACCTTCCCTCGTGAGGGCAGATCTCTGACGTAGGTCCGAGAAGTCCCGTAGACCTTAGTTAAAGCCTTCTCCCTCCCAGGTCATGTTTTCTCCTTTGGGTTACTCTCTGATGGTGGGGTGGGGTAGAAACAGGGACTGGGCAGAGCTGCTGACCGTGTCTCATCTTTTCCCGCTCACTAACCATATGTCCCATTGTTTCAGAGACATGATCACAGTTGGCATTCAGAAAGTGTTTTATGGTCTTGAAGCGCTTGGCATTCATATGTAAGTACATAATTATGAGAGACATTTAATGCAATCTTTTTTTTCTGTAAATAGGGGGCTAGGGGACAATCTCAGGGAAGAAGGTGGAGCAAAGCTCTTAGCATTAATGAATTCACTTCTCAGATGGTTTTGAGTGGCTAAGCAAGAGACCAGGCAAGCTATTCAGAATGAATGGAGGGGCTCAAAGTAAGGTAAAGAAAAACCAATGTAAACGAATTGGCAATATAAAATTAATATCGTAGTGCGAGGGTTATGCTAGACATCGGCAGGAAAGGCCAGATGAATTCAGAGAAGGGAGCGGTTGGGATGGTGCAAGGTTTCAGACGTGACAGCTGAACTGGTTTTTCAGTGCTGGTTCTGCGGTCTATAAGCAGATGTTGTGACCCAGGAGCTCTCCCTACGCCACTGTCCTCAAGTGACAAGTCCTGAATGTGAGGAATGCAGCTTCTGGAAGTCTAAAATACTGAGCCTTGGAGAGCTCACACTGGAGTTACTGTTGGGGGTAGGGTGGACTCGGATCTTAACTGCGGATTGCCTTAGGAAAACACTTTAATGAGTGCTGTGAAAATCCAAATAAATACCAGGGAAGGAGGAAGTTTTATTTCATTCCCTGGCGAGGGAGGTATTACTTAAGTGGGTGGAGTGGAGCCCTGGGGGAGCATGCTTCCTACCCGAGAGGAGAGGGGAAGCTACTGTCAGAAGTGACAGAGAGGCCCTCACACAGCCAGAGCCCACGGCCCACCGACAGTGTCTCCTGTGCCGGAGGAAGCCATGGAACCCTCTGCCCCACACACCCTGGGGCCAGTCTACTCACACAGCCCCTTACACTTTCTTGTCAGACTGGGAATAAGGAGGACATTCCATCTCTGAAGTACGATGTCTGAAAAGCTGAAAGCATTTTTTGGCTCAGGGAGGGGCGTGGGGGCTGGGGGGAAGGCTTTTTAAAGAAAATCAGAAAGCCCTGTGTTCCTTGTTAAAGGACATCTTTCCCAGGTACATAGAGAACAGTGTTTCAGAGTCCCTGGGAAACATTAGAAGAAAATTATCTTCGGCAAGACTTAATGGAGCCAATTTGCCGTGTTTAAAACCAAAGGGTCAAATAGGCCTTACACAACCAGTGTCCAATCACACCTTGCTTGTTCTCTACCCGTTTTTGGTCTGCTCACCTTTGCAAATGCCTTTGAAGATCTTAAGCAATAATATTCCTTAGGTTTAGAAGAAATTACAGAGTCCCTGAGGCTCAGAAACTGACTTAAAGGCTCCTGGTCACCAGGACAGTGTTTTGGTTTCTCATGATATCCATTGTT